CACCCCACACGTCATCATTTTCGTGGAGGTAAATTTAGTGATTATTTCAGAAAGTATAATTGTAACTATGCATTGATTTCTTGAGATAATATGCGTGTTAAAAGGCCTATTATTGAGAGCAAGTAATTAGAAATAGCAACATGCATGGTCTAAGCCGATTGTGGACCTCCACAAAGCCTGGCAGCAAGTAGAGCCCGCTTGGCCTGTCACCTGCATCTCGATGGACGGCAAGACTCGCCACATTCTGGATCGCCACGGCTACGAGGGCATTTACTAATCCGCTGCCATGCTAAATTGAAAGCATCTTATAAATGATGTAGGATGGTTAACCTCTTAAATCAAAGCATAATCAGGGATTAGCACATGTAATGTGTGCCAATTACTTAACCTCTTATATCCATGATGCATACATTCTATTCTTAATCAATCAATGTCTCATGTTAAATGGACAAGAAGAAAGTGGACAAATAAACATAAAAAGTGGAATTTATTTCTACAGATTGTCCGATATGTCCAAAATTAAAGAAAATTTATGAAACATACAGATATGATTCATTAAACAGCTAGCTTTTTATGATTCTGATTATCCACAGCAAGGCCTTGAGCACCAAAACACAAGTAGTGATTCATCGACCTGATGTTGAAGGAGGAGTGTCTGTGCTTCATTTTCATCTTCTGAATTTTAGGGGATTGATTCACACTGGAGGGTCCCGCACCAGCACTGTCGAAATCTATGTCCTTCTCTTTATTGGCAGATACAGCAGATGACCAAGATGATTCGGAAAAAGGAATGGAAGGTGATCCAAAGTATGACTCTGGCATCATTTGCATAACACCATGTGATAACTCTGCAGCAAATTTCTCTTTGGTGGATGGACTCGGAAGGTTACTCCTTATAGCAAGTACTCTTTTGTTGTTAGGCAGGGATGATATTTTTGAAAACTTTTGCCTAAGTGGAACTGGGCTGTTTTTGAAACTTGAACAGATTCTGTATGATTCTACAGAATTATCGTCCTCCAACTCAGTGATGTCTGTTTTCCTTTCTTTCTTCCCCGGCCAACGAAGAAGAATCTTAAGACGCATAGCAGCTTTATTAACAGAATCTGATTTCTTCTTACTAGTTGAGCTCGACCCAGCAGGCGAATCAAAGCGATTCAGTTCACCCGAGCATGAAGCATACTCACTTGTTAAATCACAACTAACATCAGATGCATTCCCAATTCCAGAATACAAAAATATCTCTGTATCCGGGATTCTGAAAGAAGTTCCGGGACTGCCTCCAATTCCCTGCATCCTCAGATGGGAAGTAAGAACGCTTCTAGTAATTTGATCTTGACAATTAGAGATTCCTCCAGCTGAAATCAGCCGCTTGATTAAAATCTCAGAAGAAGCCGATTTTGGTCTTTGCTTGAGGAGATCCAGAGGTGTATTTCCATGTGCATCACAGATATTTAAATTTATACAACGCACCGACATAAGAAGTTCCACAATGTCAGATTGAACGTTCGCAATTACGGCCATGTGAAGGGCAGTTCTACCGTCACTGTTCTTAACATTGATAACGTCTTCAATATTTACAATTTTTCCACCAACTAATTGTTTCATGAGCTCTATCTGTCGGTCCAATCTTCGGAATCCAGGGGTTCGGAAGCCAGCCACGGCCATGTGCAGAAAAGTATCTCCATAATTGTTTGTTAGGGATGCACACGAAGGAGATGCTGATACAAGGGCCTTTACTGCGTTTAGGTGACCCCGGTAAGCAGCCACATTTAATGCTGTGTTACCTTGATTGTCTGTGGTGTTGATGATGTCAAAGGACGATAATAAATGTTTAACTACCTATATGGTCCAAAAAGAATTAAATGCAATGTTAGAAGCTGAATTTAATGTGCATAAGAAGAATATTGAAATAAAACTAATCATTCTAATGATGTAATCAGACAATAGTATATTAACGTCCATAGATATAGCATCCTCCCATTAATGAGGTAAAAACTTAAAAATCAATAAGACCATGGAGCATGTCTGGCTAAGCTAAGAAATCACCTAAAACTAAACTTTTTTTGCCAAACATGTTTGAGCTTTTTCAGAAGTTACTTTTTTTCTTTTCAAGGGGGGTGGGGTGGGGTGGTGGGGGTTTACTTCACTTACTTTCCAATAAAGTTCTTTCATCTTTTCTTAAGCTTTGCCAAACATGCTCCATATACACAACATGCAGATGCTACTAGATTCAAAACCTTAATAATGTATTTGGTAACAAACAGCTTCTAAACAACAGTAAATGACTCAGAAATATCAAAGCTCCTTACTGTAATTGAACACCAAGCAGAACTCAGTAATACGTCCAATTATGAGGAAAAGGAAAATTGACGAAGGAATTTTCCCATTTTATCATCATTCCTTTCCTTCTTTCTCTTAAGTTCTTTATTTTTATCCTCAGAGGTTAATCAACTCACTCGAGCATGTAATCTAATTCAGTTAAGTTACAGACAGTTAAAGAGAGAGTGAAAGATGAACAACATTAAACACAACCTTAAGTTTTAACTTCAATAAAGATGGAGACAGTGTTCAATCACCAGACATAATGTTCTCAAATGAGCTGGCCATCTAATCCATCTTACAAAACCTGCTAAAAACGATTACATACAACTATTAATCAAGCAATTTAAGTAGCAAAAGAAACTAATATTTACCTCAACCTGCCCTCTGCCTGATGCTGTATGTAATACTATGGATCCCAGGCCATCTCTATAACCCAAGACATCAGATTCATCTTTAAGAAGTTCTCTCAAAATCTCCAAATTCCCTCCTCTAGCTGCAGCATGGACAGCTCTATTAACCATTTCCCTCTTGAAATCTGAAGAAACCTCCTCATTTTCCCCTTTAGAGCTACTGTTATGAGTTCTCAACATCGCATGATCCAACACCAGCCTAAAAACCTTGGAATTCTTGCTTCTAGCAGCTGCGTAAAATATGTCAGTAACACCATATTCCCCTTCTCCAAATACTAAAAGGGGGTCTTTATCCAACAATTCTTTAACAAAAATCACATCCCCAGCTGATGCAGCAGTGTACAAAAGCCAACCACCATAGCCAGCCCTGATCAGGGAATTGTGTCCTTTCTTGGTCTGACATTCTTGGAGGAGCTTTTGCGCAACTTGGGACCGGCATTTGGCTACATCATCAAACTGTTCTTCATCGTCCCACACAGATTCAAGACGACGAATTCTGCGCAAAGAGCTGAGTTTAATAAGCAGATTTGTGTCAAGGTGAAGAAGCTCCCTGACTAAATCATAATGCCCATTAGCAGCTGCCCAATCAATAGGAGATGCAAACCACCATTGATCTCCAGTACTCTCCCATCTCAAAGGGAAGTATGTGGGAGGCATTGGAACAAGAAATTCACAAATTTACTCTTACTATTGAACGCAACTTCTAGCAGAATTTCAGAATTTCGAACAATAATTTATGGTCACACCCAATATATGAGGTTTCGATGAGAAAAAATAAGAAATTTTGACTCCAAGAACCACTCAAAAGGATCAAAGCAAAGCCAGTGCCCAATTAAAGTGCAGAAACAAATTCTTTTGGCCAGGATAAGCCAATATCTCAAAAGTGATGTAATAATGAGTCATGAAATGCACAAAAAGTTAGGAAAATTGGATTCAGAAAAGGGTCTTAAGAATTTGAACCAAACAAGACTTGAAAAACACTAATGGACACAGCCCTAAACACTCATCAAAACACGCACATACATAAAATTTCCAACGGGAAATTTGGAGGAAAAAAAACAGATCCACCAAATAATTGTGGCAGAGCAGGTGAGTTTTGATAAAAAGAAGATAATTTTTTGCAGATAACAACAAAAGAAAAAAGACCACATGTTTGCAGATTTTTGATAGGTTTCTTTTATGGCCACCCAAAATATAATTCCAAACGAGATATCAAAATTCCCTCAAAATTTGAAGATTCCCTCGGCCCGTTAAAGGCTAAAGATGAGGAGACAAGAAATAAAGAGGGAATTCACAGTACGTAGGTCGTGGGGTTGACTGTACTGTAAAAGTCTTTTTGCTATGTAACGCAATTTTACTGTTTTATTTGTATGGAAATGATATGCAAATAACAGAAAATCTTTGATATTTATAATTTTTTATATAATTTAAATCTTACGAAATTTTGTGATTTTTTTTCTTTTTTTTGTGAAAACGAGATTTTCTGAGTTTTAACATTCGATTAACGATTGTCTAATTTTTATAATTTAAAGGTTAAATACTCCATACTCTGGATGTAGTAGAATATTTTTCCCGTAATTATGAATCCCTCAAAATTAAGATTTGCTTTATGAAAAGAGATTTAATTAATAAAGCTTATGATGTTTAAAAATATATTCAATTGATAGTATATTTGTTGTCCTTAATTTTGCGGAAAAATTGAACCTTCGAAGTATAAAATACTCAGTGCTCATTGTCACTGACACTGTATTAAATAGTGAGAATTCAATATTTAATTGAGAGTCAAACTTAAATGAGATATAGATACTACGACAATACTAAAAAAAATTCTTCTATTTTTGTCAGTCTAAAATTTGAATTAATTCATTTATGCATTAGTAGGAGAATCCTATAAAATTTGTTGCTTCCTATAAATAAATATAAATGTAGGACGGCCAAGGAACATGATGCCGAACATTGCACGTGAAGTTGACAGTTTGGCTTTCCCCTTGGATCTTCACATATACACTAGTGGAGGCACGTGCAAAGCACGTCTCTGAGTTTAGTTCGATACTAAATAGCGTGTATGATATCTACTATAACGAATGTAGTACAAAAAATTTTAATTTGGCAACTAATAACAGGGTATATAAATGTATTTTGGTATTTTACATTGTAACTTTCTGTTTGCAAAGTAAGCAAATCAAGCAAGTGGAAATTCGATTGATGAACACTTTTGCCTGGGACAAAGTGAAAATTTCCAGCCACTTTGTTAACCTCCAGAGATCCATGGATATTGCATCCTTCACCCACTTCATCTTTAACATTTTGGATGAAGCCTCTTATACACTAATTATCAGGAAAATAATATATCAGAAAGTTATCAGATTCTATTAGAGCAATAAAGTTTGCATGAACTAATTAAAATTTCAAAATCAAATTTAAAATGAACAAAAGTGACCCATCAAAAGCTAAAACTGATGATTCAGAAGTCGAAAGAAATTAAGGCTGCCAAATATATAAAAAATAAATAAATAAATAACATACTGTCAATTCATTATCATCCAACACAATAAAATATTTTGACATAAAACAAAAGTTTTTTTTTTTAATCACACATTTTTCAAAAAATCACTATTATGTAACAGATAATCACATTAAGCAATATTTTAGATTCAAACTTAAGCCTATGTTTGAGCTCCTTTTTTCCCCCAAAACTCATTTTCAACCACATATTTTTCCATAAAAATAATTTTAAACGTAAACCCAAAACTTTTCCATATTTTCAACATTCCAAACCCTATTTTCCCCCAAAATTGGGGTTCAAACATGGCCTAAGTCAACATGGAGGAATAAAGAAAAGATACCTTCTGAGCATAGCTTCAGTCATAGATGGTGAAATCATTGCCACAAAAATCCTAGTCACTTTACTCGGTGGAGCTCTCATCTCCTCTTATAGTACAAGGTTTGAAAGAAATACCAAGAGTTAAAATGTCATAGCTTCTAAATCTTGTAAAGCAAATGCTGGAAGTACAACTAAATAGGTAATAATTACAACTTTAAATTAGTAAACTGTATAAATTAGACTAACTGGATGGTTAAAGAAGGTAACCTTTTGTGTGGCTATTTTGATCTTCTTTCGATTATGTGTAATTGTTGGTTGACCATCCACTTCTCATCGTCGTGCACTACGCAACTCTCTTGATTGGGTGTATAACTCTCGACGACTGAATTTCGAGTTTCTCTTTCTCTAGCATAAATTTCCCTGCGTCGTTTTTTTGGTAGTTCACAGCTTGCAGCATCTATAAGATAAACAACTACATATAAAAAATATTCTCTCAGATGTTCTGGAGATGGAGATGGTAATCAGATAAAAAAGAGAACGAATATTCCCTCACAACTAATTCCTTAACTTCCATATCTAAACAAGTTAAAGAAGATGAAACAATTGAGAGAAAGTCAAGTCAGTAGTCTGGAAATGTTTTTTTCTTGTTTGTTGGATTAAAATTGTAAACATGTAAATGTCTTCATAATATTTTTACTCACCATTCATCAAAATTTGGACATAAATACCTACCATTCCCAGTGTAGTTGGCATTAACACGTGTATCCATTGAGATATGCCATTGCAGAGATGGTACTAAATCAATGTGGAACTCAGAATGCCAGTAACCCAGGTTAAAGTTAGTGACAAGTAAGACTGGCTGCATAACCTCCATTGCCAATTTTGCCTCTTCCAAGCTCTGCAAACTGATAAATATTAGTAGTGGTCAGATAAACAATTGTCAGTTAGATAAATTATTAGTGAATAAAACATATCCTGAAAGATATCTTCAGGCAAGAAATTGGGGTTTCAGAATCTGAATAAAAAATGATGCTATTGAGTATGATTTTCAAGAAGTTCTGATTTCAATTCCCCAATTCAATGCTTAAATACATACTGTGTGTTCCTTATAAGTGAAAATCGGTGATAATTGACGATGAAAGCAGGGCTAATATTAAGTGATCGGTTGCTCACCCAACGATAGTTGAAAGGAGCAGCAATTCCACCAACATAAGCAATAGCAAGCAGCCACTCCAGGTACAAATCACTGAAACAAAATCCTATCAGCCTTAATAATCTCGGGTAAATGGAAGATGAATTTGAAATTAAAAACATGTTTTGATGTTTTTTCTGCTCCTTGTGATTGGCTTATGACCTCCAGACAGGATAGGAGATCGGTGACCAATTAAAAAGTATCCAACTTTAGACGAATCCAGAGTGACAACAGTGATATTGATAGCAACGATGCCAATAAAAAACAATGGCTTCAACACATGCGAGCAGCAATAATAACAAGCTAAACCTTAGCATCTTCTTTCCCTTTAATCCATTTCCATTACATACTTCTCCAAATTGAAGTAATAATGCATGGAGTGATGCCAATCAATTCAAAAGAACACACACAACTTCAATTGTAGACCAGTATTTCGATAAGTTGCCTGTGATGGACAATGCGCTATTAATGCCAAAACTCTAGATTCGTCATTTTACACTTTCCATGAACCCACTTTTGAATAGGATTGTATTCTGGTGCATAAACAATGGATAAAGAGGTTTTTTTTTGCCATTATCGAAAAGGAAATGTTAAAAAAAAATAGTACTTCATGCTACAATAGTTGCAAAATTTGAAAATGCAATCTCATAATATGATCATTAATCAAAAATGACAACAGAAATCACGTGGACTATGCTAGAGGATCAAAATCAATTATCCAAAACTCTGTCTCCCATCTCTTTTTCCTTTTTACCGTTTTTATGGTGGCTATCTAGAAAGTGAATCTCTTGATCCATAAGACGGCAACCATATTTCGAGGTGGGTCCAAATGAACAAATTGAAGTGAGCCTCAGTGTATGAGTACAGAAAGTTTAGAAACCTCATAAAGATATCAGCATTTCTAAGGTAACCTAGAATTAAGATTGCAATTGAATATGAAAACAGCCCATACTGTCTAAACACATGTTGAATTTTGAGATATCAGACAGCTCCGCTTTGCCAAACAAAAAGAGAAAAGGCAAAAATAAGAGACTCAATAATCAGAAAAGATCATCTGACATGAACTCAATATTTATAATCCTCGTAGTTATGGAGTGAAAATTATAGGGGCAGAGCAAAATTAGTCTGAAACTATGTTGCTCGGACTCGAGTACGGGTATCGGGTACGGGTACGTATCTATGTATCGGAT